ATTATATTTAAATATACTATTTGACCAATTTGACCAGTACAGATCCTTTGACCAGACCGGTCAAATTGGTCAAATTGTTCTGGTCCAATGGTCAAACTGGTCTGGTCAAGCCAACACTGATGGCGATGTCAGAATAAATTAGTGTGAAATTGGATCATGCAGAAATTCCGGCCCGAATTATAAAAAATTTTTGGGCCAGTTGGCTCGAATTATGATTTAATTTTATATTAGTCAATATGGAGTTTTTTGAAGTTTGGTCCAGTTGTAAAATACCAGGTGTTTGATAAGTCCCTGAACAGGACTTTTTTATATCTCCGCTCGTATTAGTTTTTTTACATACCAGTATTTAGTGATTTATTTAGTGATCAATAAAAAGGTCCTGCTTAGGGACTTATCAAACACCCGGTATGAGACTGGTATGAGGTGATACTTAGCTTTTCGAAGCTTTCGAGTGGCTTTCCTTGTACATACCGGGTGTTTGATAAGTCCCTGGGCAGGACCTTTTTTATATCTCTGCTTATATCAGTTTTCTTTTTATTTTTATACCGGTATTTAGTGATTTATTTATTGATTTTGTGATTTATTTAGTGATCACTAAAAAGGTCCTGTCCAAGGACTTATCAAACACCCGATATAGACAAAAGGTTAGTTTTGACATTGGGAAATTGGTTTGACACTCACCTTATTATATACAAGATTGGTTTTGATGTTGGAAGATTGGTTTGACAGTTTATTATGATAATTATAGCGATGAGATCAAAAAAATTTAAAAAGTTCGGTTTTGGGGGTGGCTTGTAGGTCAAATGATAATAAAATTGTAACCCCAAATTCCACCGATCTGTCCAGATTAATAGATCTAAAACCAATATAGCATTGATGGTTTTAAGAGGTTAATTAAAAAAAAATAATAACCGTAATAATCTAACATAACTGGTTAAGGCGGTATGGTTATGTTACTGTCTCAAATTTATTGCAGGTTCGAGATGGGCTGGGTGAGACTGATCCCCGATTTTCTGAGTATTACGACCATCAGCACGGGAACAAATCCCTGGGAGCAAATCCCTCCACAGGTATCTCCCTCTTCGTGAGGTCGATATCAAGTGATTAGCTGAGGTATTGTACCCGGATTAGAGGCAAGACGTTCTTACTCAGTGAAGGTATCGCCTTTTTTTTTTATACCCACTTAAATTTTCTTTATACTTCCTTATATTAATTAATGCGAATAAAATGAAATTAATAATACTCTTGAACTTAATTAAATAAGTACGGATATAAAAAAGGTCCTAATCAGGAGATCTGCTACTTATTATCGATTGTTAAAACTTGTTCACGATAAAATTTATTAGTTAATCACTCTTTATCGATATATCATGATGAGGTAATTAATAAGAGGGCAGCAAATAGGAAGTCTGGGACAAGTTACGTCAATCTCCGAATTTCAAACTACAGTAGATTTCAAATATTAACAGTAATAACGAATAATACATATGTTTCGAAAAAACATAATAAAACTATTTGGCTTTTATTTGCTCTAAAATATAGAAGAAAATAAGCTTGTTAACATTTTGCATTATGCAATTTTGTTTTTAATGGACATTCTTTTTTTTGTGTATAATACTTGGAATTCTTTTCGAGTTTGTTCGACTTTTTTTTTTTTATACCTTTGGCCAATCTTCTTTTTATTCATTATACAGAAGTTGCTTGAAGTGAAATTTGTGCCCTATTACAAAATTATAAGTATTTGTATATTATACTGTAAGTTAGTTAAGTAATTTTTTCTATTAGCATTGCAAGTTTCTATAATTGCAAATAAAATTTTCTAACATAGTTTTCGCTCCAATAGCATTTTTACTACAGAATTATATGTAAATTCGTGCTTGATAAGGGTCGAAATTTTCAGTTTGAATCATTTTATCCGAAAATAATTAATTTGAAATTTTCAGTAATTTTTATTATTATTATTATATTACTTATTACTAACGTTAATAAATTTAATTCGGAGGTAGGAGTTAACGCAGATTTATTTACTATTTCATTTAGGTTTCAATGCTGTTTGCAACATTTCCGTCGCTTCCTTGTCCATGATCAAAATTTCATGACCTATGATGTTATAAACATCACCCGCATCAAGAATTTCTTCTGCTGTCAAAGCATGAACTCTCTGTAAATTCCTTGAGGCAAGGTCTAAATTATATTTATGTTCTTTAGTCAAGATTAAGATTGAGTGACCTTGTTTCCTATCGTTAGCAAGGGGATCCCATGTGTTGCTATCAAGAATAGCTTTTAAATCTTTTGTTTTTTCTGTTTCTAAATGTACATCTTGGACGATAACAAGCTGGTCTTGCGCAAATTTTGTAGCAAGAGCAGAGCGGAGAGCTAACTCTTGAACTTGGCGTGGAAGGTCAGTAGCGTGAGAACGTGGCCTGGGCCCATGAGCAACTCCACCTTAATCGACCATGTTTGAAAACGTTGGAACATGGAAAATTATATCAAATTACTAAAAAATACACCGCACATGTACTTACCACCCCTCCAATGAGGTGCACGATGACTACCAACTCTTGCTTTACCCCTTCCCTTTTGTGGTGCCCATTTTCTTGTTGTTCCGCTTACTTCACTTCGGTTTTTAGTCGAATGTGTTCCCTGTCTAAGACAGTCACGTTGCCAAATGACCGCTCGCTGAAGTATATCTTTCCTGATAGGTGCACCAAACACTTGCCTTTCTACGTTCATTATACCCAAAGGCAGATTGGTCTTGAAATCACGATACCATGCTTGAAGAAACGGAGGATATACTGGAAGCGCTATTATTATGTGGCAATAAAATAACTATTTATCAAAGTATAAATGTTTGATCCGTTTACAAATATATCTGTATTTTTACCAGTGTTGAAAATTCAAATTTTAAGTTCTCATAAAACACAAATGTGATAATTTTATGTTCTCTAATTTATGTTTCCAGTTACAGGCTAAAAAGGATCGTATGTCAACTAACAAGTATTAATTATCTAAGAATATCAGATACAAGTATCAGTAACATAAAATAAATTTATATTCTAAGTGTTCGAACATAAAACATTCTCAGATCTAGAGTTGTGTTCTCTGAGAACTCGAATTTCAACACTGGCTGTTACCGAAAGTAAACATCCAACAATATTTTTTTGGTCGAGATAAAAAACATTTTATTTATTCAGAAAGCAAGCTCTTTTTAGAGTTCGTTCCAAAGCTTGTTAAAAAATAAATATTTATTTTCGAGATCGTAAATAAATTTGTACCTTTAAGTATAACAGGTGCTTCGGGTGGTTGCTCAACGATAGTTGCCTAAGTTTGAAATGCCAGTTTATAAATTTAAGGAAAAAGATCATTCCCTCTATTTAGTAACGCTATTGTCACCTTTGTTGCAGCAGAGGTATTTAGAAACCCGCATCCTTGCCATCGTCTAAAAAACAATTTGGTACATTTATTAATCCACATTAGGCCAGATCAATAACCTTTTTTTTTTTTTTTATGGATCAATGCACATCATTTAAAGTTATTAAAATTATTATTTATACTTTTACATGATGCTGCACTTAAAAAAAATGATATCACGAAAAATTTAATGAGAATCGATTTTATCACACCGCAGAAAATCGTCTAACCTAACTTTAAGCATGCTGTATGTTCGATCATAGTCATCAACCCGTTTTATAATCATGTGACACTCAAAGTTAAGATCATTTCTTGTTCTATTATTCGCAGCAAACGCGCTTTCAGTTTTTAATTACTCAAGATCGACCGATTCATATAATATTAAGCAATGTCACGCCATCGAAATATCAGAAAACTCAATGTTGCAGGTATTTGTTTATGTCAGATTTCAAGTTGTCTTATGTCACTTTATTCTTATTGTATACTTTACGTCTTTAAGAAATTTTTGAGGAAGAGTATGAATATGAAGAAGAATATGGAGGCGGTAAGCATACTTATTTCGAAGATCTCTAAAAATTCAATTAACATATAAATATTTAATTTTCTAGAAAATTTTGAAATGACATTAAAGCATAAAAGTATGTAATTTAGTCATTATTTAATTTATCTGCCTTTCGATATTTATGATATTTTGACTTTTCGGATAAAGAACAAATGGAAGAAGGAAAGACAAAAATTAAAAGCGTAATAGGACAAGTGGAAGGTATCACCGATAAAGATATTGAAGATACATTATGGTATTACTATTTCGACACTGAAAAAACTATAAACTGGCTATTAGGTACTCTAACTTTTATTTTGTAATTAAGATAATATATATGGATTAAATTATAAATTAATGCTTATATTGACAGATAAAGCTCATAAGGCTCAATCACGAAAACAAAAGCAGGCTCCTTCAAATAACTCACAAGAAAACAAAGGTGATTTATCGGTTCTGGTATTTTTGTTTTTATTCCATTTAAATTGCATGAAAAGATGGATAGTGGATTGGTAGGTAAGGAGGGGAGCAAATATACTGAAATATTATAAATATTATGTACGATATCAAACAGTAAAACTACGCTTTTTTAATAAATCCTAGGCCATACATTAATCGAGAATCTTTCTGCTCGATATTCCCCTTCAAAATTTGATAGATCCCAATATTTCAAATTCTGGACCACAAAGTCAGGGATTATCTTTGTCATCATTGGCACAAGAATCTTTATCACGCTCAACCGGTCGAATTTCATTGACAAAACTCGTGCCAAGCAAAAGCAAGACAACTGATTCATCACAAACGGCAAATCTAAATACCAGAATATCTCAAAAATTAATTTCATCAAACTTAAATTCCTCAAAGACGAGAATGTTAACAACATCGCCAAACCTCTCTGATTCCACGCATCCATTGGAGCAGTCGTCGTCCATTTTAGATTCTAATGCATCAATTTCATCTAATTCGAATCATACGGAACACAGTTTTTTGAAATCCAGTTTTGGATCTCAGCCTTTAAACTTTAAAAAGGACACAATACCACATTTTTCGACAACAGATAGCGTGAATACTTTGCAGATACAAGCTCCATCTAACCCTCTTATTGCACCTCCATCCATATTCGCTATTGCAATATTTGCAAAGCTACAAGATGTGCAGTTACCTTCTAATGACCTTTTTACATTTGAACTTTACGCAACAGGGTCAAGCAATCAAGAAGGTTTTGCATTTGATAAACCAAGCCCAGATGATATTGTTTTAAATGCTCAGAGCAAAAAAGCTTCTAGTACTTCAAAAAGTAAGGGCATATTCTTTTGAAATTTTAAATTAATATTTATTATTAATTTAGCTTATATCCTTCTTTCTGACTAAAAGGTAAACAAATAGCTACAAAACCATCACCGTTGTTACCACCAGTGCATACAATGAATAATGGAACAAAAAAAAGTATAGATGCATCAATTAAGAAGAGCGATGATGATGATATTGAAATCTTAGAGGAAGAATATAAAGAAGATGAGCAATTGAAATTTGATATTGGTGCACTTTCTTTGGATTCTGAAGCAGAGTCATCAAAATTTTCATTTAACAATATTGCAACACCTATTAAAGAATCTGAAAATCAAGGAGCAGTATCTCCCCAGTTATTACCAAATGAGCAAAAAACTCAAACAAAGGCAAACATAAAGTCTTCAAAGCGTATTAATGTCATTGAGGAATATAAAAAGCGTATTGCTGACAAATTTCCATTAAATTTAGTGGTGATCGGTATATATTAAAAGTTTAGGTGTTTTTATTAATTTAATTTAATTTAATTAAAAAATTCCCTATTTTTGAAATGAAAGGGCATGTTGATGCTGGAAAAAGCACACTTATGGGACACTTGTTGTATTTACTCGGTGAGGTTAATGAGAAAGCTATGAAACAATATGAAAGAGATTCTTCAAAAATTGGAAAATCATCTTTCGCTTATGCGTGGGTTCTTGATGAAACTGGCGAAGAACGAAACAGGTTTGTATAAATTGCTTTCTATGAATCGTTTCTCCTTTACGCTCTCAAATTAATTAATTTTTATTGGTTTCTTTAATTTTAGAGGCATTACAATGGATATTGCTATTAGAAAGTTCGAAACAGAAAATCGCCGGTTTACTTTATTAGACGCTCCTGGCCATAGGGATTTTATTCCTAATATGATTTCAGGAGCTTCACAAGTAAGAATTTAAAAGTATTTTACTTATAATATTTCATTATAATTTTTGACTGATCTTTTATTACAAGGCTGATGTTGCTATCCTCGTGGTCGATGCTACAGTGGGAGAATTTGAATCTGGTTTCGAAGCAAATGGTCAAACTAAAGAGCATGCATTATTAATTAGAAGTTTAGGTGTCCAGCAACTAGTTGTTGCTGTAAATAAATTAGACACTGTAAGTGCTTCATTATACTTCACAAGATACAATAAATGGTTGAACAATCAACTTAATTGTGGCAAAATCCACAGGTAGAATGGTCAAAGGCTCGATATGACGAAATAGTAGAAAAGTTGGGGGCCTTTTTAAGCCAAGCTGGCTTTAGGAAAGATAAAATCGCATATATACCATGCAGCGGATTGATAGGAGAAAACATTATTCGCAGATCACCAGGTATTTTAAATTGGTATGGCGGAGAGACTTTAACTCAGCAAATAGGTTTGTCATAAATTTCTACATCTCTTGTACTAGTTGTTTTATGTTTTGGTTTTTTTTTTCTTTGCGTGTTTGATAATTTAACCAGACGCATATTTTTAGACAAGTTTGAACCACCTACACGTCTTCTGGAAAAACCATTTCGTCTTTCCGTGTCTGACTTTTTCAAGGGAGGCATAGGAAATATTGCAGGTGTTACTGTTGCCGGTAGAATAGAAAGTGGCACAGTACAAGTTGGGGAAGAAATTATAGTAATCCCCGGCGGAGAGAGTGGCGTAGTCAAATGTAAGATTACATAGCAATCATTTAATATTACTGAGTTGCATAATTTTAACAATTTTTACTGTTTCGCCTGGATATTTAAAGCTCTGATAGTTAATGAAGAGTCGTCAAAGTGGGCAGCAGCTGGAGATTCTGTGATGTTGACTTTGACAGACCTTGATATTCTGCAACTTAAGTACGTTAAGTGCATCAATCAGTTAATTATTATTTTTATTAAATTGTAGTTTCAAAAAAATTTTTAATTTTTAAAAGGATTGGTTCCATTTTATGCCCACCATCACAACCGGTTCCTGTTACATCACATTTTCTTGCACGAATAGTTGTATTTGATGTCAAGATTCCAATTACACGAGGATTTCCTGTAAGTTATAAAACTTAATGTGACAACTAAAGCTGAAATTGATGAAACCGAAATTTGAACAAATTGCCTGGAGGTTATTTTTTAGGATAGAGTTGGAATTGTCAATAAAAGAGCGTAAATGGATTTTAATAGGTTAATTTCTTCAAATAGAGACCCAAATTTCAGCTTCAGCTGCTACCAAAAAGTAATTTATTTATACGACTATTTAAATGTAAATGTACTATTTATTTTAATAGGTTATACTTCATCGGCAAAGCCTTAATGAGCCAGCCAATATCATTAAACTGGTGGATATAATAAATAAAAATACTGGAGAAGTAATCAAAAAAAACCCAAGGTTTGTTGTTTTCGAAAAATTAATTCATTGTTTTATATATTCAAATTAAAAGAATCCATAATAATAATCAAACGAATTTAAAGACATCTTCCTAAATCTACAACCGCTACTGTGGAAATCAAACTATCTAATCGACCAATTCCTTTAGAAGCATTTAAAGATAACAAAGAACTTGGTAGAATTATGTTGAGAAAGGGAGGAGAGACGGTTGCCGCAGGAGTTGTAGTTGATGTAAGTTTTTCATAACTATTAGATATTGCGTACGGCACGATTCTCATTTTACTTTATATCTGGTTTAACCTTATTAGATATTGTCTTACGGTAGTTAAATGTTTAATCAACTTGATATATACTTAATATTTACATTCCGTGTTTTCTATTGGAAAAAATAGTTATCATTGTATATTAGTATTGTAATAACATTAACGACATACAATGTTCTACTTTGTAATATGTATTCGATGCGAGGCATTTGAATAATTCACAATAAACGGTATAGATTTGGCGTTAGAATTTGTAAATACACAAAATTTTTTAAAATTTGTATAAGCAATCCAATTTTTTAAGATCCAATCAGCGCACCCATGTACTTTGTGCCCCCTGTGTGTTAATAGTCAACCAAGTAAAATATTAAGACAGAGATAAGCATTAGGGTTGGGTAAAATTGCGAGAGGAGCATTTTTTATTAGTTATACAACAAGAATTATCCTAGTAAAATTGTAAGATATTAGTGAGGGGACACAAAGTGCATGGGGCACTAACTAGTTTTTTTTAAAACTTATTTTTTTTTATTTTTTATTTTTTTTGGCGATCATATCACAACTTTATTTTTATTATAGATTTTCGATAAAATGTGATTTCTATTTGTAGCTATGCTATTTTTCAAACTAAAGCGTGGCTCACCTGGTTGCCTATTGGTACCTATGTGCGACCTGCCAAAGTAGAATCCGTTTCGCTGTTTCTTCATTATCTACCTCAGATAATGAATTCACAGTTTATTAGCCTGGATCTATGGCCTGTCATGATCTATTTTTAATTTGTATTCCGCCTGGACTATTTACTGGTCCAAACCTAGTTATTCATCTCATCTATTACTAAATCTAGTCTATGTTTATAATTGTCCCACCAGATTGATTTATTCTTTTTTTTCTGATCTCATCTGTTGAGAGTAGATCTTCTAAACTGATTCTGGTTTTTCTTCTTGATTTGGGACCTATTAAATCAGATTGCTTTTTCTTTTTCTTTCTGATATCTATTTCTAACTTCTTTTCCCAGAATACTACTTTATTGCATCTTTGTAGCCAAATTGTTTTTAAAAAAATGTATGCCACTTGTTTTACCAATCGAGAATTATTTTTTCGAAAACTTGGTTCAAGATATCTATTGATTCAAGTGTTATTACCAAGTCTTATTTGATCAACCCTTTTGCCATTTCTTTTCTTTTTTGAATTTGTGCTGCTTTTTTTTCACCTGCAAAAACTTGGTAAAGTGTGTCTAAAGTGAGCTTCTTTTTTGTATACATGTTTAAATTAATCCAAATCTCCTTGGCAATTGCTTGCTCTTTGTCCTGCCACTTGTTTTCATTAGCTTCACAGGTCACTAGATAATCAAAGTTTTTTTCTTCTTTTTTGTATTTTCTACAAAGAGCTATTGAATATAGGTTTTCTTAATTTTTTTTATAAATATGAAGCATTAGAAGCAAATTATTTAAGCATTTAAGTTTAAAACTCTATTTCTTGTTTGTTTTAAAGGACCTTCTTTTTTCTTTTTTTTTTCTTTATTTCACAGGTTTTTAAAGATTTTCTAGTCTTGTTTTACTATTCTGCTTGTATAAATTATATTTTTGGAATTATTCATGAAGAGCTATTCGATCTTGTAAAAAGTGTGTATAAATTTTTTAAGAAAGCTATTTCGATTGCTGTATTTTCTATATTGGTTTAAATACTATTCTTTGAGACTCATTTGTATTAATTTTTATTGCTTCAGCTTCTTTTGTATTTTTTTTTGCTATTCTATTTGCTAAATCATTTAATATGTTACTCATATGTGTTTTGACTTTAAAGAGATATATATCCAAGTTCTTGGTATATAGGTTCAGTAATAGCTCCTAGGATGTTTAGGTTTTTGATCGTACATTACAATCTTGTCCTTTTAGTTTTTCATATCTTTTCTATTGCTTAAATTACTGCTTGGCTATCTGTAAAGATATTTATCTTTAAGTTGCTTAGTAAAATTAGTAATACTCCTAAGATTGCTATGAGTTCTAATCTAGTTGAAGAAAACTATACTTGAATTTTACCTTTAGTTTCTCTTACTATACTACCTTTATTATTTATCTAAATTATCTCATATTCTGCTTTATGCTCTTTTGTACCCCTCTCCAAGTGAGCTATTTGTATAGAAAATTAATTATACTTTTAACTAGTTGTGTTTTCTAGTTCTCAATAGAAATTTGATATACTATTTCTGTTTTATCTTCTTTTTTGCTAGTTTTTCTTTCTAGGACTACTAGATCTTTGAAAAATTTAAAGCTAATAAACACAGCCCAACCTCTCTTTTTCTTTTATTTAATCCAAGAGCTTATATCTTCCAATTTACTTTTTTCCATTGCTATAATATTAAAGATGGAGACTATTTCTAATTTGGAAGAGATATTATAAAACTCATTTTCTTTGTTCTCTTCTTCCCATTCTATTACTTGGGACTTGTTTTTTGAGAACTTTTTTTGAATTCTTTTAATGAAACATGAATTGTTTTCTTTTTTTGTTCCTATTACCTATTCTTTTTTTAATCTCTTATATGATAGTTTTCTTTTTTTTTATTCATATTTGATTTTCATTTATTTTATTTACTTGTCTTAATAATTTTTTGATTTAACAGAAGTTTTTGTTCTAAAATACTATAACCTCTAATCTCTAGAACCAAAGTGGTACTCTACCTCTAGTTGTTAAGTTTCATACTCTGCAGATTTGTTGCCATATAAGCAAAGAGTTGTTGTATCTTAAGGTTATTTGTTCTAGATACTATAAGTTAAGATTTTTCAAGGTGAGACTACTTTTATCCAGGTCTTTTTTGCTAAGCAGCCTTCTTATTTCATTAGTTGTATCTTTTTTTAAAGCTATGTACCAGTTTTCTTTCAAATTAGAGTTTTTGACACTGATTCCAAGTTTTTTTGATATCACTAGTATACCTATATTGAGATTATTTTTTCATTTATAGCATATCTATACTAGCTTTGCAGATCTTAATGTGAGCTAAGCATCTTTCAAACACAATTGCATGAGACCTTCTACTAGATTTGGATTATTAATTCTAACTACCTATTTTAAGATCATGTGTTCAGTATGATATTACTATAAAAAGTTTATTACCTATATTTCCTTGTACCGATATGAAATTAAATATAGTTAAAGCTATTTTTGCTTTTTATTTTGCAACTTATAAGACTGGTTGATGCAATTTCTTACATTCTTTTTTGATTAATAGTGTCAAATTCAGCTTGTATTCTGCTTTAGAAAGAATTACTATATTGTTTATATATTTTATATGTTCTATTGGGATTCTCTTTCTAAGTAATAGCTAGACAGTTTGTTTGATTTCAAGGCTGAGCTTTTTGTTTAGTATCTGCTGCTATAAGTCATACTTCTAGATATCTCACTATATATTTTTTCTTTTTGCTACTACTTTTTCACCTTCTCTACTAACTTATTTTTTGGAGTTATTACTAAGAGCTTTGTCTTTTTTCTATCATATACTTCAATTTTTGGAATTGATAATAACTTTTGATCCACTGATCCATTTTGTATGATTTAACTACCAAAATGCTTGTCTCAATAAGTTGATTCTAACAAGCTCAAAATCATAAAAATTCAATTACAGAGTCCCAAGATCATTCAACTTTTGTGTAATTTTAATAGTAATTTTTAGAATTACTAAGTAAATTTATTTAATATCAAATAACTTTTGATCTATTGGCCTGTTTTAGATGATTTAGTTACTAAAATGGTCATCTCAGTGAGACAATTCTAACAAGCCCCAAATCGCCAAACTCCAATCACAGAATTTCAAGATTTGTATTGTTAAACAATTATTTAATCAAATTGGTTTTTATATATAAAACCAATTTGATTAAATGATTATTTAACAATACAAATCTTTATCAATCTTGGGATTTGGTGATTGGAATTTGGTGATTTGGGGCTTGTTAGAATCATCTCACTGAGATGACCATTTTGATAGTTAAATCATCTAAAACGAGCCAATAGATCAAAAGTTATTCAATATTAAATAAATTTACTTAGTACGGTAATTCTAAAAATCACTATTAAAATTACACAAAAGTTGAATGATCTTGGAACCCTGTGATTGGATTTTAATGATTTTGAACTTGTTAGAATCAACTCATTGAGATAAGCATTTTGGTAGTTAAATCATACAAAATGGATCAGTAGATCAAAAGTTGTTATCAATTTCAAAAATTGGAGTATATGTTTATTTTAATATTGTTCAATCTAAAGAAGAACTCTGCAATCTTAATTAAATTTTGCATTGCTGCTTTGGAGTTTGTTATAAGAGTAGTACAGTATCATCTGCATATGCTAAACTTGATACTTGAAACTTCTTTTCTTTAGTTATACCTTGTATCAGTTTTAAAGGCTATTCAATTTTCGCTACTGCACTATAACTATATTTTTGAAGTTTATATAGTAGTAGGTCAAAGTAAATTCTCTATAAGAGAGGGGAGATTACTTCTCTTTGGTTAATTCCTCTTTTTGCATAAAAACCTTCTGTTAAGCCAAACTTAGTAATTACTTTAATTTCTCTATTTGTGAAAAGATTAACTAAAAATTTTTTTAATTTCTTTGGAATTTTAATTCTTCTTAGTACTAGTTGTAGCATTTTTAGATTTACTATATCAAATGCCTTTCTAATATCTATGAAGGTTATCTCATTTCTTTATTTTTTGTTTTGCTGCTCAATTAAGGCATTCATAATATGAATTGGCTTTTGTGTATATTCCTCTTGGAGTTCTGTAAAATTTAGATTTTATAAAATTTTGTAATACAGTTGCTTAGCCTTTGCTAGATAATTTTAATCAGTCCTTTTCTAGTCGCTTCAAGAAGTATTATTGGTTTAATGTTTTCTAGTTGCAGATCTCATTTTGCTAGTTTTGGAATTAAAAAGATTATATCAATTTTCCATTTTCTTGGCATTATTCTTTTCTTTAGAATTAGATTTAGTTCTAAAAAGATCTTTGTTGCCTTTTTTCTAGTTTTTTGAGAATTGTATATCCTATATTTGAGAGACCCAAAGCAAAATTGTTTGAGGT